AAATAGCGCAAGAAATTGACGTTAATTAACAATAACATATATTGTATGCACCCGTCGCAGTTATAATTGCGTAAATAACCGTATTTATGAGTCCGCGTAGGGAAAATGCTCACACCATGCCCAAAGTCCTTCTTTCCAATCAATTTAAGCTACCAAATTTGACAGCTACAGCAATTTTTGTTGTATTTTCGCCTCATATTTGCTCAGCAACGCCCCGTTTTTAAATAACTTGATTTGGCTATGGGAATTTTGCTTAACCGCCTTTACATCAATATCATATTTGTGAACATTTTTTGAATAATAGTTAATCACTGTATTAAATGCTGTTCGCAACTCAGCAAATACCATGAAGGTCTGCTCTTTCTACAACCAATCAGTAGATGATTTATTGTTTCTTCGGTTTAATGGTAGCCGCAATAGCTGAATAGCTGAACGTCAGCCTCTTACAGTATATTTCTGACTTGGAACAAAAAATTTTTGCATAAAATTGAATACTTTAAATTTTCTTTTTGTATGCAGGCTTTTTAAAATGGTTCCAAGCTCTTTTTTGTCGAAACTTTAGCTCTAAGCAATCGAAACAGTGCTTACATGATGATCGGACTCGACAATGTCCTTGGTTTTATCGACATTTTCCACAATTGGCCTTCCACTCTTTTACATCAAAGTTACCGGAATACCGCGATCGGGCAGATCGATTTCCCTCAGACGCGCTCCTCGGTCGGTTCTGCGGGAGGTGGATAACGCTGGATTCGTCGTAAAAAAAAAATTAAATTGGGCATGTTTGACTGTAACAGTACTAAGACTATAAACGCCATTCACATTTTCCGCCCCCTGGCTTGCGTATTCGCCTTTATCGAAGAAGCTTATTAGAGCAGCTTTTTTAGTAATAAATGTCATCTTTCTTACGCCATCTAGCGGAACCCGATCGGTCATACAACAATACAACTCGAGCTACAGATAAATAACGACATCTGTTGGAAAAATAATGTAAATATTATTTTTACTAGAGCAATAATATTATTCTAAAATATATACGAGTATACGCATACATATATTTTCCTGTCAGATTTATCACATCTTAGTAAGTGCTCTAAGTGAGAACCCCTACCACAACAAAGATTTGAAAGAAAATGTTTAAGGTTACTGGTAGGATCGAGTCCATACGGCCTTGCTACGCCTAGCAAGTACCTCCAGAAAACAAAATCAAGCCACCCTTAGGGATAGAGGAACCATAACAACAATGGAATAGATCTTTTAGAACCTGATTTCGACTTGGACCTTGGACATGTCATCAACTATATATGCACATAAAAACTCAGCTCTATTCCGCAAGGAACCATCCTTAGAAAACCCAAATAATATACCTTAACTATTAACTCCCCGGCTTTTTACCACTGCTATCTAAGAACATATATGCAATCCAGTAGTGCAATTCAGTAGCTTTTTCGATACTATTTATCGGATCACAAACTTGTGAGTCTTGCACTAACGATTATGCGATTCGCTAACTCATTTCTGACGATAATCGACAACAGATGGTAGAAAGGTGGCATCGTAACTTAGCAAAACTTCAATATATGTGAAAAGCACAAAGATACATGACAAAAACAAAACAAATTTGTGATAGCAATTATTTTTATTAATTGAGTTTAAAAAGAATGTTATGGTTTCCAAACTTATATTATTTCCTGTTTCTCTGTAGATATTGCTGTTATTCATCTGTCTTTTAGTGGGATTTCTGAAACTAAATATGTCGTTAATTTATATAGATTCAATCAATCCTCATCTTGGGATAAAACGTATGGCAAATACTCAAAAACCGTTTTTGTTTATTATTTTATTTTTCTGTTCTGGTTATGTAATTTTCCTATCTAATTTTCTTTATTTTAACCGTTATAAAATATCAATATTTTGTCGATGACGCTAAAAACATGAAAATATTTATTGCTTAGTTAGCGATTTGTCAAGTACATAGTTTACGACAACAGCTGATGAAGCGTTAGCGAACAAGGTTAAATCAAGTGAAGCGAATATTAAAATCGTTAAAATTATCGCTATGTTAAGTTTTTGTAAAGCATTATAATACAATGTAGAGTCCCACCACAGTTTTGCATTTTATATTTTTCTGTTTGGCGGTCAGTTTCTTTCTTTTATTCAACCTGATTTACAGTTTTAATCAATGTTTTATTCAGACCAAAAAGTACTGGATATTGTTTACTCTTTCTTAAAATTTTGGCCAGAAATTTCCTTTACAATGACAGCCTTGTGAAATAGTGTGTTATCACGGCACAAAACCAACAAGTTTTCTTTCCACAAATCTGGCCCCTCGCATAATACTCATCGAACTTGACGTAGATTTTTGGCTGAATAATCTTATTCCGAAACTCGTCGCCTGGTTTGCTTAATAAATACGTACTCGTAAACCCATGTCCCATAAACAATAAGCGCTGTAAACAAGCTAAACGATATACCTTACATAAAGCAATTTTACTAACTTAGGGACAAAAAGCATTTTAAATGATCCATTACCGATACGTTTTGGCAGAATTATAGATTTTGTTGTTGTTGTTATTGTTGTTGTTGTTGTTGTTGTTGAAGAAGAAACAGCAAAGAATATTACGGGAGTGACTCCTTGGCCATTTAAAAAGCCAGGCCATCTTTGTAAAAAGACCCGACTGTCTCAGGAACTATTGGATTTTAGTCGCCTTACCGCGGGTTAGTTCTTGAACCCTCAACCTGCAGGGATTATACATTTATATGTTAATAGAGATAGTGGCACACTACATATATATAATTCGCCAAATATGTTCTGCATAGAACACTTTTTTTGCCCATTAAGGTGAAAATTAGATTTCTTTATACTCCAATTGAGAAACAAAGCTGAAACCGATTAAACTATACTCAGCTCTTAATATCAATGTGATTTTAAGATTTCAAGAAACCATGATTTGCCATCAAATCCACCTTAAATCCTTTGAGACGAAGTTTTGTAATAAGAAATGAAATATTAATTCAGAGATTACTTAGCAGAATTGAAATGGAAAACGCGAATGCGGTGCTTGCAACATCTTCAAATTCACCAAGAGAAAACATAACGTAGGCTGAATTTTAGTTTTTATTAACCGTTATTATTACAATAAAGTTCGATTTCATTATTATACTTATGTACATACATACATATGTACTCAGTTATGTGCCTCGTTTTGTTGGTTTCATGGTTGTTTTGTGGCATTTTCGGTGGCCTTGAGGCAACAATAAATTAGAGTCAAAAACGCTGCTGCCGGTAGCGTAACTAACAAAACGATACTCATGCTTTTATAGCTTTTGAATTTGTGGTCAATTTGTGGAGTTTTGTATGTTTATTTTGCGATGCAACTGTTGTGCGGCTAAGGTCATGTGAATTTAAGGGGAATTTTATAATTCTCAATATAAATTGATAAAATACGAGCACGAGTTAAAAATTCTGCTTTTGTGCCGTTAAAAATTGTACATATTCTTTCAATAAGATTATTCAACAAATAAAAGATAAATAGTATTAAGGTAAATAGTTTAGTTTTATGATATATTCAAAGAAACTTTTAAAATAATTAGTGTCTAAAAAACGAGAAGTCGAATTAACAGCAAACTAATTGATTAATTGATACACATTAACATTTCTCCAAAATTATGTCTAATCAAATAGTAATCAATAAAAGATTTTATTTCAGTATAAATATATATGTTGGGTTTTGTTTTAAGAGTATATGTTAATCCTCGCCTTCCATTCCTATAACACATATTTAAAACAATTTACTATATAGATTAACTGACTCATTAGCTGAATGGTAAACACTGACCACGCAAAAAACTAAAATTATAGAAATTTAATTTAATATTTATTAAAAAAACGAAGTGGGCATAACTGGTTCTTTGGAAAAGTGCCTGCTAAACTCGGCATACACCAGTAGAGTGAATAGCAGATGACGAGGTGAAATCACATGCAATGTAACCAGACAGATCTGACAACTGCTGCAGAAGAAAATAAGAAAGTCTCTACTCCTTCAGCTGTCGGGGCCTAGGCGACAAGGAGTCGGTAGAGCATTAATTTTTATTTCGACTGTCTTACGGAATTCGCTACGGTAAGCATTAGTAATCTCGTAGGTTTCATAAAGCATAGCTAATAGCTTCAACAAAGAGGAAAGTGAGAGAAATATTACTTCACAGAGGCATCATAGCTGGGTCAGGGTCCCGTAATCGAGGAATCTAAACAGCTTGATCAGAGTTCCTTGCACAAAGCGATCGACGTACAAAGAAATAATGTAGCTACAAATGTAAATTGGTCGGTCGGTATATACATTAAAAGTTTCAACGTAATTCAACAAAGCATTAACTCGTCGTTTATAAATGTGTTATCAATTTTAACTTACCCAAGTTGCGCGTGACACAAATTGACAGAGCGCCGAGCATATGGACAACGTTAAATCAACTCATCTCGTCATTTTATGGGGGTTTGCATATGTATATTTATATGTAGGATTCCTGGCCTGGTCTGACAAACATCTAATCTATATAAATTTAAATACAAAATTAAGCCAACACTTCTGGTTGCGGTCGCTCCCCAGCAAGGAGTATCAAACCCTCCGAGTGTATATCTGACATGAAATAAAGGCTACACCTAGAAATCCGCCAGCCGTTCGGAGCTGGCTTAGTATAAACTCTAGATCCATTGTTGCAGAAAGCACTAACTTCGAGAAGAAGCTCGACCGAAAGATCTATATATATTAAATAACGAAGTATCAAAACACCATAAAATATCAATTACTATATTCTTATGAGAAAATTTGAAATTTTTAGCAATTTATTCACAAGGCAAAATAAATAGGAACTACTACCCTCAGTCTATGCGTCTACTAGACCTCTAGATAGCAGGGTATCACGCAGTGCCAGCAGCTGGATACTCGTTAGCTCTGTAACCATCAAACAAAACTGATTCTAATTGTAATTTAATTTTTCATTTCCAGTAAACAAAAACAACGGAGAGTGCACTCAAGTACAGCAGCATTATTACAAGCGGGCAGCAGCCACCAAAATCAAAGTGGAAAATACTCGAAATCTTTGAAAACTAAAAAAAAATCAGTAGCAAACAAAACCAGAAATATTAATATTACTCGAAACAATATCACTCGTGTATCTATAAGCAACCGAAATGTCAACTGGCCGCTGTGATTGTCTGGTGAGCGTACCAACCGGTCCCACATTAGCCTCAACATGTGGTGGCAATGCATTTATGCTTTTTATGGGTTTACTGGAGGTGTTTATCCGATCGCAATGTGATCTCGAGGATCCATGTGGTCGCGCCACTCCAAGGGTAAGTCGAAATAAGAATCTTAGAAAGTAAAAAATATTAATAAATGTAATGTGGCATTTCTAAATACTCAAAGGAATTAGTCCTCAAGAATTAAATCATAAAGTTTTATTTTATTTCTTATTGATTTCTAATGTACATATATACATCAGAGGTGTTGACTCGTTTAAACCAGTTCACTCCGGCATACTTTCTGATTATGTGCAAATTCGTCGGATACTTGTATGCGATAACTAATTAGACTAAATCATTTCTCACGCTGATAACATCTTCTTCGGTAATTAATTAATGAAAAAAAGATTGAAATTTAATCAAAATAAACTCAGAATGCCATTCGTAGGCAGTAAGATTTGGCACACTTATTTGTCTTAATTTCTCGAAGCCTAACAGATTTTCATTTTATAGTTGTTGATCATTTGGCACGTTCAGTAATACCAAAAATCTGTGCTGCCTCGCGTTTGCAAACATCGGTTTATATATGGATATCTTCAGTAACACCGATGGCCTAGCCTTTCCTACTGATGTGGTGACAGAAGATTACTTTTTCCCAGTAGCATTGTTCATCTGCTTTTTGTAAGCTGTCTTTGAGGAAACCCTCAGTATTTGCTTGGCTTACAGTGAGTCCTTGACTTTCAGCTTAATCCGTTGAAATTGATTACCCGTGATAGATCCTTCGGATGATTGCTTGAAGAGAGGATGGCAAAATCATCCACGTAGCAGATTATCTTTGCGTTCTCCGCAGAAAGCTCCTGGATAAGTTAGTTTATCAAGGTCGCCCACACCAACATTTTGATATTCCCATACGACATTTGTTTGCTTAACATATGCCTCAACCATAAAAGTAAAATGTGATTGGTCCCAAATAATGCAACAGATTAGGTCAATGCCGTGGTGTTTGCGTCCCTCTACATCAATGAATATCGCAAGGGTATACTGTCGTGTGCTGATATATTTTTCGATTATCCTGACTACTTCATATAGGGCGGTATTAACCTTAGCCTGTGTCGATACGATATACACTCAGAAGTTACTGGTACTTTGATGCAATCGTGGCATATTCTCTTCATGTTTTTCAGCAGAAAGAATATCAGAGTGATCGGTCTAAACGACTATGAGAAAATGTAATCCTCCTCACGCTTACCTGCTTGGAGGCGATAAGCCATGGAACATCATTGTCACGAACAAACTGTAGCTTGGAGCTGCCCTGAAGCTTCGGAAAACTCTCTGTAATTGATCGTCTGCAACGTCAAACAGAGTTGAGTGTAGTCTAAATACACTTTTTTCGAATCGAGGAGTATCGATCTGAAAAATAGACTTGTATGCGGCATCCAGCAAGGTCTGCAGCAACATATTCTCTCTAGATCAGCAAGGTTCTATTATGGCGGAGTTGAAATGACGGGTCTTCCTTCTGTAGAAAGGAAACCAAAACCCATTAAAATAGCGTGATTTATAAATCATTCCATCGAAGAGGGCAGTCATTTTTGTTATTTTCAATTTCAAAACATCGTTGGACATTTTTTGGTAGGGAAGAGTCTTATGGATTCATGCCACTGACACGCTCTCCGCCCGCACCGAACATTACTGCTGTGAATATCTTGTATGTTCGTTTGATTTTTATTTGAATTGTTAAATAGTATAATCACTGTGAGTTACAGTAGATAGTACTAAATAAATATACTAATACTTTTAAGATAATAAGATATGAAAAATAAATAATGAAATTAGATTTTCATCATTTGGTGCGAGGTTAGGACTACAAAGTGGATGCGAAAGAACCTCACACTCAAGCTCTCAAAACTTGTGAGGTATGGCGATGCACGAATTTAGAGTTTGGCAGTAGGGAAGCAGCTCATAGTGGATAATTCGTTGCCAATCCCACCAAATCATCTTGCCATCAGTACTGACTTGGGACCGTAACTCCTGTGGAACCCATACATCGAGCTTCTTTGTGTATTCAGCCATTTTCAATAGGTGCCAAATTGTTTTTAGAGCAATGTTTAGCTCCTGGCTAATCGAGACTGTGCTCGCTGGATGGGCAGACTCGACTTCTATCCTTCCTATTGGAGGAGGAGCTCGGCCGAAAATCCCTTCAGCGGTTACAACATCAAGCAGTGGCTTGAACATTTTTATTAACGTGGTAAAACAGATTTCTACTTATTCAATCAAATTTTTATCGTTGGTTTTGAAATTAAAAATTTTCCAAAATCTAATAATAATTGATTGTTAAAGTTTTACAATATATATGGCAATTAGCAAAGAATATAGTATTATTAAAATCTTCAGTTTAAAATGATGAAAACGATTTCGATTGAAAAATTGTGTTTTGCTTTTTCTATAATTTTATATCGTTCGATTTCTTGAACCTCACGTTGTTTTAAGACGGTGGTAAAGGAAAAAAGACAGGAATATTAAAAATAATTGGTAGGAGCGGTTTCCTTGGATCATTCTAAATAAAAGTTGAGGGGAAAAGTTTTATGAAATTTAAAGAAAGAGAACACACTAATATACAGTTAGGCTTCAGCAATATAGAGATGAGAGAAAAAGTAATATAACATTAAACAATAACAGTTGAAGAGGAGATAATTATTAAACGTCTTAAAAAACAAAATCAAACGGTATAGAGATAAGAAAATAGCAGCCAATTTGGTTAATTTTCAGGCAGATCAACCGTGAAAAAAGCTTGTTTCTGAGCCAAACTAAATTTTTCCCTTCTATCGACGATTGCCAATAATTTTAATTAATTTTTTGTTATTTTCAACATAACTTTTAATTTTTAATATTACTTCAATGTTTACAATTTGTTTATGGTAGTTAAAATATATATCTACATACACACATTTGCCTATATAAAAATGTATACAGATATAGTATCATGCATTATTTATTATGCCACTAATATTTTTATGATTTTCTATATTAATGAACATTTTATATCAATATTTTTGAATTTATTTTCCCATGTAACAGTTTCGTTCAGAGCCAGATTACGACTATGACTTTATTGTGATTGGTGGCGGCTCAGCAGGTGCTGTTGTTGCTTCTCGCCTATCCGAGGTGCCGCAGTGGAAAGTGTTGCTCGTCGAAGCGGGTAAGTGTAATCCAATTTATTGCTCAAATACATAATAATAATAATAGAATCGCAATATGAAATGAGCATAAATAAGTACTTATATGTTGTATTAAGTATTTATTTATGTACTCGTACATATGTAGCAAATACTATTACGTACATCACGTATATTTTCAGGAACTTATGTAATTAGGTAAATAAGTTTAAGTGTTTACGAGTAAAATTTGATTTGCTTTTGATTCTAGCAACAATAACTTTAACCCATTTTTTTGTAATTTACTGCAATTTATTGCAAAGAAGTGCATTATTTTCAGAGAAGAGTACAATCGATGCAATGGACGGAACAAGGAAAAAAGTCAAGTCCTTACTTCCACTGCCGAAATTTGTTGCTGAAATTTCGTAGCAGCGGAACTCATCTCGTTAGAGCCCCTCAATCAATATCTATTTACTAAAACATAGTTATCTTTTTACTGAAATATAATAAATTTAAAATTTTCATAATGTCATTTTATGCCATACTCACTAGCTACCCAGAAAACCTCTTTGTATCATGTTTTATTGAACTGTATTGAATTTAAATTTATATTCTATTATAATATTTACATATACTCGAATATTGGTATACCGGAAACTTCTGTCCGTTTTTGGAGTAATACAGAATACTTGAATATTTTCATGCCAATCCTATTTTCCGAATATGGTCAGAAATGGTTTGTTGGGCTGATTTAAGTCTTTCAGCGATCTCCGATGTTGTGAGAAAAGGATCTTGAACCAACATTGTCTTAGAACGTGGCTTATCAGAAAGGTCGTCAGTATGTATAAATAAACATGTGCCTATGTGTATTATATGTACATATGTATGAATATACATAATATTGAGAAACTGCTTAAAAGTCTACACCTGTACCTCAAATTTACATATTATTTTAGTACATATACGAGTATGTAAAGACGAAGCGCGGTTGATTTTTTCGCTACCTAAATTACTTAATGAAACAAATGTATAATTTTATGGTTTCATTTTTCAATATAGCCTTCTTTAATTGAAATACACTTCTCATATCGTGAATACAATGCCTTTATACCACTAAAAAATTATTCTTTAGATTTCTCTTTAAAATGGTTTTCTACGGCCGCTTTCATCTCACTGTCGTTTGAAAATCTTTGACCCGGTAAATCATTTTTTATCACTTCAAAAATAAAACAGACTGTCAGCTGGATAGTCGATTTCTGTAAATCCAGCAGCTTTTAAGGCATCCCTCCTTTTTGGACCCGGAATGATACTGCCGAATCCAAGCTTTAGCTCAGTTACAATACAGTTGTTGCAAATTTCATCCAAATCATCTTGACACAACTTCAAAAAATCTTTGCAATTCTCTAATAGTCACTGTTTGTCAAGCTTTCTTTCATATTCAAATGTGCATACAAAATCTTTCCAGATCTCTTTTTGCTAATCTGTAATCCTTATGCTATCAGTCGCAATTTAATTCTACAATCGGCCAGTACTAGTTTTTCAACATTCTGAACATTTTCTCTTCGGTCACGACCGACATGGGCGTCTCGGCCAGGGGTCATCTTCTTCCTCCTTGTTGAAGCAGTCGAGCCCGTTTTTTCACCATCTTATCCCCTTCCCGAAGAACCGCTGACATCTCTTTAAAAATATCTTTCGGCGTACTTCCTTTTTAACAAGGAATTTAATCACAGCGCGGTGCTCCGAATTACGAAAATTTTTAGTTTCCGTTGCCGTAGTGTTGGCGCTTGTTCCAGAAACGAAATTTTAATGAACCAAATAAAAAAAGAAGTTGTTTTATTTATACTAATAATGAGTACCGCAATTAGTATTATCCGTATCGAGATGATGTGTCATCTCTAACTACCTTAGGTCACGGAAAAGTCAGAGGCCCCTCCCAATAAAAATCTGAAGCTATTTTAGCCTAGCTCCTCCTTCAATTAGTGGAATGCGTCTTAACGTTGATGATGATGACACCAGATGGAAGGTGCTGCAGTTTATTCTGAGTTAATTTTTTAAGTTTTTGTACAATAATTTTGGCCGATGTTCTGAACAGTATTTGAACCTGCACATGCACTGATAGCCACTCGACTACCGCTGCCGCTATACATTATTAATATGTTTGTTTAATTATCAAGATATGATTGAAATATAGCTTAATTGACATAAGTATATCAACATCTATATATAGATAGCATTTAAATATCTCAGTAGACGCTAGACTCTCATTAAACTTGCAAAAGTCTAAACTTTTGAAATATACGGTAATTAGCTTATATATCACCGGTTTTGAAATTTATAGTTAGTAAAATCATGACTTTTTTTCGTTTTTACTGTGCAAATATCAGCAACCGGTTATTAGTAAATACTACATGTAATCAGCACTTATGTACTAGGGTGATCGCAAACACTGATGTGTAATTATTGCATTAAATATTTGTACCCATGGTATATAAAAAACAAGATAGTTTCACTTGACTTTTTTCTAAATATTAACCATCGGACGTAAAGAGATTCTTTGACTTTTGCTTTATTCTTGTGCTAGCAATTTCTCTTTTTAAATATCAGATGTACAACTTTGCTTCCGCCGTTTTCCGATAGGTGGCTGTACCGGCTGAGGCTGGTTGAAATACATAGATTATAATACCTTTAAAGTGAGTGTGGACTTGCCAAACGAATTGTTATCGCCGTTTCAGTGACAGTTGTTCTTGTTTTCGTATTATTCACGCTCGAAAATGTCCATTTATGTGCCTAATTCTCGCCCTTTGCTGGAAGTTTTACCTTTCTGTTACAATTCGAAAAAAATGCAGCCGTATTCCCCAGATATCGCCCCTTCTGACTTCCACCTATTCCGTTCGATGGCACACGGCCTGGCAGATCAACATTTTCAATCCTTCGAAGAATTGGAAAAATGGATTGCTTCATGGATAGCGTCAAAAGAGAACTCCTTTTTTCGAGCCGGGATCCAAAAATTGCCGGAAAGATGGGAAAAAGTTGTCGCTAGCGAAGGATAAAACTTTGAATAATATATCTGTAAGCACTTTTTCGCAATAAAGCTCTTAATTTTGGAAAAAAAACGGCAAAATCAAAGTTGTACACCTAATAGTAAAGTTTCAACTTTCTAAAACAAAAAATATATATTAAAAAAATGCAAAACTTTTCAATGTAAACAAAAACCTAAAGCAAACCCGAACGCATTCTCAAAAAAATCAAAGTTTTTGCATAGTATTTTCTAAAATCTAATGGAAATAAAATTATTTTACGGCTGCTTAGCATTTTTTTATAAAAATATATATATAATATATTTGTAAAGTGAAATGAAAATAAGTTTTAATGTCGAAAAATCGTTTTCTGTCAAGTTTATTTTGAATGAAATTACCTTAATTTTTTCGTATCATATTTGTACCCATAGTTTGTAGAATAAAAGGTTACGACAAGAGCGAAATCATATGTTTAGTGACGAAGTTACTTCAATTTTGTGGGTTGACGAAAATTTTAAAATAAATTTGCATAATTTTATCGATGAAACAACGTAAGGTTTTGACTTTAAACCCCTAAAACCTTGCATTGTAATTTTTTTTATAAAACAACAATTACAATTAAAACGTTCTGTCGAATAAAGCATTAAAATTTTCAAAAAAAAAATTTTAAATTTTGTATATTAATATCATTTTTTTTACAAAAAAATTGTTATATTGTAGCTAGCAACTTTAATTTTAGGTGTCATTCCATAAATAAATAATATCAAAAACGTGAGCAATTATCAAAATTCTAAGCGAAAAAGCAGTATTTTTAAAAATCGTATATAGAAACCCATTTTCGCATATTTCTTTGCCTTCTAAAAAGCTTTTCAGAAATAGATTATCTCTATCTTGTAAAAAATCGTGTTTAAATATTCGAAGCGGTGAAAAAATGTGCAGTGGGGTATCACTGACAAAAATTTTAAAGAAATTGTGTGAGTGATTTATATTAACATTTTCTGAAAAATTAAAACAAACGTGCGGTATTGTAACATTCTCGTCAACCACCCCATTTTTTAAATTCAATGATAAAATTTTTTAGGTTGGAAGTTTTGGCATTGAGAAAACTTAAATCCCTCGGATAGTTAACAATGCAACTTGCACACAAGATTCTTGCCAAATCTGTGACTGCGGTGTGGTTAGTACGTAAGTGCAAAACCAAAAATTGTATAATTAATATTTTCTTCTGTATAAGAAATAAATATTTTAAAGAAAAAAGTATTTCTTTTTATTATATAAATATCAAGTACTGCTCACTGTATATATGACGAAGTTGGTTCGGTGACGTCAACAGTTTGTACCTTGTTTTGTACCTATATTTTTCAATTTAAAATTGTATAATCACAATTTTACTTTTCAAATTGCTTAAAATATAATGCCACGCAATAAAAGAACATTGTGTAGGGTAAAATATTTATAATGCCTTCACCGATGCGTTGGGAATTTGAGCTCAGAAAGTCCTCCGGTTTGCAATTTCTTTCAACTTGCATTTCGTTGTTTTAAAAAGTAGTGAGAGCTTCGCTGTGCATACAACTGATGGTAAAAAGTTTTAAATATATTTACATACTTCTACAGCGTTAAGGATGGAGAGGCTTTTCAACAATATATCCCGTATTTTCCGAGCCCCAGCTGAAACAGTTTTGCTTATTAACGGAGCCATGGAGGTGGAACTTGGTCGCATCAGTCAAGATGATTTTTTGTTGAAAGTTTCAACTTTTGCGAAAAAATTTTTTGAATCATATTACTACAATTTTTTTATGCTACCAATAGAATGCGGATATGAAACTTTGTACACTGGAGATTTAATATATTGATTGGCTTCAACTTAAATAGCCCCTGGTGAAGATTATCGTTTCAGATTTTTAATTTCATACAATAACGATAGTTGAAAACAATATATATTATCTATTACAAACACCAAAAACTGACATTTTTGGCATATAATTTGTACCACCCTAAGTAAAAAATTTACGTTGTTGTCTGTATAT